TCAGAGTCTTCTGACCAAGATCTCTCATGGTACAAAGGCTGGACAAGGCCACAGTGAAGCCAGATGCCAACAGAGCAGAGGCAGGAAAAAGGCACCACAGACTATATGTGGTGGCAGTGAGCCACCACACTCACCCCACTCAGGTCTGAACTCCTCCTCCTCCTCCATGAAAACTTCCTGGCTCCTGATCGTTGGCAGTGACCTGCTTCTCCTCTAAGCAGCTAGAGCAATGTTTCACCAGTCAGCAGGGTGATGGGACCCGCAACACCAGAACCACTGGGAAGTCAGAAATGCAAGTTCTCAGGGCCCAGCCCAGGCCACTCTGATGGTGGGACCCAGTAGTCTGTGTTAGGGTTAGGTACACAGGGCTAGGAAATCAGAACATCTGAAAGAAGCTGCAGAGCCCAGGCAGCCCAGTCACCCTTCAGGGATCTGCAGGTGACAAGCTCTGTGCTTCCCACATTTCAGGATGAGGCTCACAACCTCTTCCATCCACTTAGCAAATATTGACTGACCATGGGTGCCAGGCACACACAGATCATGAACACTAGCAAACCAGACAGACGGGGACCCTGGCTGTGAGGGAGCTGACATTGCCACTGAAAGAGAGACCCAGTAAACATTAATAAAATCCACATATACTAACTATAAGAAGATAATCAGACAAACCCAAATTGAGGGACATTCCATGAAAACCACTAAACAATACATTTGGCAAATGTCAAAGACATGAAACATACGGAAAGAAGAGTGACACATGGGTGGAGACCAAGGAAATATGGCAGGTAGATGCAATGTGGGATCCTGGACTGGATTCTGAAAAAGATAAAAGGCATTCATTGGAAAATAGGATATCCGAAGGTATGTACTTTGGTATTCAGTTTAATACCAATGCCAAACCATTGGGTTCCAGCATTGTTCCACTTATGGTTGCATAAGATGTGGACATTAAGGGAAGCTGGCCAGAAGCTGCACAGGAAGTCTGTACTAATTTGCAGCTTTTTTGTGTAATATTTTGGATGATGAATCCACTCCAGAAGAAGGGTCCAATGGGAAGGAGGTTTTCCACATTGCATGTTTAAACAGAAGCATGCCACCCATCTAGAAGATGCATGTGGGCAAACCCTGGAAGGAAACCCTGGACAACCTGTCATCCAGGGTGTTGCAAATGAGGCCAAAGTCAGTTTTTCCAGGATTCCTCCTGGGCCTACTCTTTCAGACTAATCCTGATAGCATCTGAATGCTAAGTTTAGGTGCCCCTTGGTCTTCTCTTGTGAGGAAGTCCTCCAGCGGTTGGAGCCCCCTGGAGAGTACAAAGTGAGTATACAAAGGAAGTAGGTGTCTAACAAGGACCAAGGTCATGAACCAGGGCACCTTCACTGTCTTGTTTATTCTAGAACTGCCATGGTCTCCTCATTACTGGCAAATCCCTTTAGGTCCTTTTTCCATCTTAGACCCCGTGCCCAACCTTCTTAGTAGCTGAGCTGTTCCTTTGAGCACTGTCCAAATTTTCCAAGACCCTTGAGCAGTGGAGCTCAGAATAAGGTCGGTGTGAGCAAGCAGACATGAGTCAGGCTGAGACTCCACCTAATGACTAAGGATAAACTGCCTACCCAACACTCCCAACTGCCAGCCCTTCAGAAAGGACAGGGCACCATAATCCAAAAGCAAAACAGGCCTCTGCTTAGAGCTGACGTCCTGAAAGTCCCGAGTTCTAGGGACCTGGACTGAGTCTCTCCATCTCCAAGTGCCAATTCACCATCTATAAAGTAATAGGTTGGGAGAAGGTCATCTCTGTTTTCACGCTGCATGCATAGGAAGGTATCAAATGAAATAATGAAATCGCCCACGGTAATTGCAGCTGTGAAGTACAACATGGGGTCACCATGGTGGCAGTGATGAGCTCTAAGGGCTCCTACCCCACGTGAATCATAGGGATTGCAAATGGCAACTGTTACTATTAATATAATAATACCTTAAGTTGCAGAGTGCTTCTCCATTTACAGGGCATTTTTATACACATTATCTTAGGTGATCTTCATAAGAACCCAGTGAGAGCAACAGGAGAGGTGTCATTTCTTTTGAACAGATGAGAAAACCAAGTTCAACGGCCATTGGATGAGGAATGGCAGTGTTGGGCCCTGAGCATGTGCTATGTGATGCTTCATCTTCTTTCTGTTGCTTGTTGCTGTCTTTGCTGCCACAGGGACCCATGCCACTGCCTACCGGTTTTGACCAGGTTAGTTCAAGGCATCCCCGCTATAGGGAAACCCAGGTGTCCTCCCTTGAGGAAAAGGCACCCACAGAATGCCCTGAGCTGCTTTGGCTCCGTCCATCTGGGAGCACATTCCCTGTCGCTCACAATAGAGCGGGTGAGACATCACAGCTGAGTTCACTCCAACATCAGATGTCTCTGAACTTATTCAAGAAAGGGAAATGCGAGCATGAAGAAAAAAAAACCAATTTCGAGGACAGTGCCCCTCACACATAATCAGAAAGGAACAGTGACCAAGGTGAGTGGCCAGCTCCCCTGGAGGTGCCATGTTTCTAACAGTTGTGCCCCACATGGGGGCACACTGGCTAAGCCTTCCTACCAGGAGCAAGCTTGGTACCCTTTGCCACTTAGCTGCTACACTCAAAGGGCATAAGACAACTTCTATTCTTGCCACTCATAAGCATAGAGGATGCAGGCCAGTCAGCCTCCACTTTCCTATCACTATGCAGCCCCACTCTCCCATGTCTAATATATGCAAAGCCTGGCCAGGCAGGCCCCAAGTGGGTGACCACTGTGTGTGATGCTAGAAAGGGCCAGCAGCATGACAGCTCTGCTCTTGAGCTTACTCTGCACATACTGATATCCATACCTATGCACCCAGCCTCCCATAGGATACTTACTCCCTAGGCATCAGCCTCCATGGTGGTCAAAAGCACTGACCTTACCTCCTCTCAGAGCTGTGAGGGCAGGATGACATTGCACTGGAGGACACACTTTGAAAACTTACAATTTCCACATGGGAACTAACAGACCAGGGCACACTATGCACCCAGAGTCAGAACTGCTGGCGAGGCTCATGGCTGACCTTCGTTCTTCTGGTTCTATGGATCATGAGACTGAGTCCTGGCCAGGAGGATATGGGTAGAGAGTCCAGCCCATAAAATTCTTGCCCACACAATTATTTTCTCTCTTTTCCCTTCTGCCTGTAGAAAACCAGAGGATGCTGGTTCTAGACAAGGCAGGCCACAGCCAGCAGGAGTCCACATTCCCCCACTGGACACTTAGGAGTGCCTCGCCAGGAACACCCATGTTGGTGTACAGAATCAATGCAACAGAGGCGGAAAACACCCTTTTACTGTGCTCCTGAAATTGGGGTCCTGTGCTATGGCTGTTAGGCCACCTGGACTAGCATAATGACCTTACAGAGCAAATGCTTAGAAAACTCCTACAGTGCTGTTGTAAATTCTAGCAAATGGATAAAAGGGTTTCAGTAGCAGACAGCCAAGCCTCCTCATATTTCCTCAAGCCAATAATGGGATAAAAATGAGACCCTATAAAAGATGTGTCCAGGCAGAAGGACTCCAGGGCCCAAGTTCTCTGTTATGTCTGTGGTTAGCCTGTTTGAGAAAGAATAGAACAACACAGGTGTCAAATGCAGCACAGACCTGAGTTTCTTGGGATACAGACGTCCTTTTCTCAAACTTCTAGATGTCCACTCCTGACTATAAACCTCTAACTAGTCAGACAGGTTATGTTAACTTATCACAGTGGCAAATGCCCACATAATGTGGACAGGCCATGCTGAAAGGGATCAGATAAGAGATCAACCATCCATTATGGAAAATAAAAGGCAGGGGGGAAGGACGTGACAGTTCACAAACATAAAACAGAATCAGCTTTTGGACATTAGAAAAGATGATCACCCTAGGTTATGAGAAAAAAATACAAATGAAATGACAATGTGATATGATATTTCATGTATCAGACTGGCAAACATCAAAAAAAAAAAAAAAGGTGTGACAAGCTCTTGAATTGGGCTTAGGGAGAAGGAGTTCACCTGTACTATCCATGAAGAGGAACTCTGGGAACCTCTCCAGAGGCCAACTGATAGTACTATCAATATGTAGACAGCAAATCCCTTTTGATTCAGTCAGTTCTACATCTAGAAATGTACCCAATATATATCCTGACACATGTGCAAAAAGACTTATGCACAAGGTTGTTCATTGTTTGAATTATAGCAGATGGGAAGCAGCCTAAATGCCCGACAGTACAAACCACATGAGTACATTAAACAGATAAAAAGTCTACCTCAGTGTTTACAGGATCTCACTCTGGAATATCCCGGATGGAAGCAAGGATAAGTAGGCACCAACATATAGGCACCTAAGTCAGGACACTGTGGAAAAGCCTTATCCTTAAGACACTCCAGGAACTCGATTCAATATTTGACAAGGTGTGAATCTGTTTCTGTGCACTTCCTCAGTGTTATGCTTATTTTAAGTACATGGAACATTAGCTGTAATGCAAACAACACAGCAACAGCTGTGTTTTCATCTTCTTGGCTTTCCTGACGTCACCACCAGCAAATACAAACTCCAAAAATTAGCAAATGCTGTTGTCCCCTGAAGCACAGAACCACTCACCTTCCCCCAGAGGAAGGATTCCAAAGCTGTCCCTTATTGTAGGGGTGATTCTTCCCTCTTCCCAGAGTAGCTACTTAGCAATTTTGGAACAAAGTCAGGCATCTGAAAGAGAGCTCTATCCAAAAATTCAGCTACACCTTCTGGAGAGAAATCTAGCAGCATCTATTAAAAACAAATATCTACACACCCCTTTCCACTTATAAATTCCTCTCTCTAATACATAAAATAAAGCACCTGATTATAAGATAGCATGCACAAGGCTGTTTACTACAACACTGCTGGAATGGGGAAAGAGACAACACCTTGAAAACAATCTGAAAGTCCACTCAAAGAGAAAAGCGGACTAAATTATGGTCTACTTACACCATGAAAATTCTCTGATTGTTTAAAGGAATAAGACCTATATCTATAGATCTGAGGAGATGTCCGTGATGATTATTAAACAGCCAAATATAAGTTGCAGACAAAAGTTTCTAATAAGATCTCATTTCCATTAAACAATAAGAAACCTCTATACAAAGTCCACAAGATCCTCCCCACTCTGTCCTCCTCCAACTCCTCCCTCTTCTGTGAATTCATTTCCTACTGTTTTTTTCTGCCTGTTCCTGCTCCAGTTGACAGGACATATAACCAAGTACCATCCAATCCCACCCTCAACCCCTCAATTAAAATTTCAAAAGAGTGGAGGGGGTCTGTTCCAGATTTATTTTTCGCTAAAGCACTTACCATTGGCTGGCACTTTAGACACTTCACCATGAGATATTTCAACCCTCTAGACTGTCAGCTCTATGAAGGCAGATATTTTTGTCTCTCTTGCTCCCTGAGGCATCCCCAGCCCCTAGCACAGCACAGACATTCAGCAAATCTCCCAGGATGGATGGATACCCTGCTGGCACATCTTGACATGAGCCTGGGAAATGAGTGGAAGTGTTTACTGGAGGTTTTTCCTAGGAGAGGCACTATGGCATCCAAGAACCATGGAAGTGGAATAAGAAAGACTACCATTTCTTTAATATTACAATTCCACCAATTGTAGTGAATATATGCTACTTTTATAACTTTCAAAAAGGCTTTAAGTAAAATTAAAAGGCAAAGATGTAAATCAGGCTAAGAGGAGGTAGTGTGGAGGGACAGAGAGGCAAAATATAGAGAGAGGGAACCCAGATCAAGCCTCACAGCTCCTTGCTCATTTCCTCCCTCCATGCATGGTGAGCCGGGCATCTTTGGAGGACAGCCATGCCTTTCTAACAGCACATGCAGCAAGTATACAAGGAAGGCTGAGCTACTGCTCATAAAAGAAATCATAGAGTACATGCTAACCCAAATACAAATACTCCTGGACTGTTCCTCCCACCAGCTTGGCCACTATTGGAGATGGATACCCAAAAACTGGCAGGACGAGATGCATTGCTGGAGGCCGACAGTAAGATCTAAAGAACGGCAGTGAATGGGGAGGTCACAGTTGTATCTCCTCACTGAGTGACCTTGGGCAAGGTTGCTCAAAAGGCTCCAGGCCACAAGCTCCTCCTCTGTAAAAAATCACCATGAAGTTGTCTGTCTTGCCCAGTGGGCTCAATGTATGTGACAGTGCTTGAACACCCTGGATCCACCCCCAGACGCTAGATTACGTCAAAACCCCAATCTACATACAGCCTTGTGTCCTCACTGAGTTTCCATTTCGTTGCAGTTGGTCTATTAGAAAGCCATCCATTTTTATAGGTTTTTTTTATTAGCATATATTAATTGTAGAACAGGAGAGTAGCATGGTGCTACTTGCATATATAGAAAGCCATGCGTTTTTTTATTTGACCTGTGGCCATCTGCCAGACCTCTGTTGCTCCTAATAATTTACAGATTGAGAGTCTAGGGTTTCTTCCAGTCACAAGACGAGATCACCAGCAAATAAAGACACTACTGTCTCATCCTCTCCGATTTGTATGCCTCTCTTGTTTACCTAGTCTCATAGACCTGTGTTTCAATTTGAATAAGAGAGGTGAAAAGAATAAGTGGTGTAATATTCTTAACTTGAATGGAATGTGCTGTAGTTTGAATCTTAGTATCCCCTGAAGGTGCCTGAGTTAATGGCTTGGTTCCCAGCCTGTGGTGATAATGATAGTTGGAAACTCTGGGAGATGGAGCCTAGTGGAAGGAAGTTAGGTCACTGGGGGTGTGTCTTCAAAGGAGCTATGAATACACTGGCACCTCCTCTTGCTCTCTTTGTTTCCTAGCCACCATGAGGGAAACAGACTTCACCATACACTCTCACCATGATGTGCTTGCTGTGCCACTGCAGGTAAAAGCAACAGGACCAAGTAGCCATGGATTGAAACCTCTGAAACTGGGAGCCAAAGTAAACCTTTCCTCATTTTAACTTGATTACCTCAGGTACTTTATCACAGTCATGCAAAGCTAACTAACACAGAATGCACCTCATGATCGGCTATAAGGAATAACATTTACTCTACATTTTATAACTATCTGTCATCTCATGAAGGAAGTTCTCTTATGCCAAGTTTGCAATAGTTTATCATGAAATATGACTGGATAATACTTAATGCTTTCCTAACAAATAGATCATTGCAAAGCTGTTATCCTTGATCTGTTTTGATAGGGGACTGCAAAGCGCTGGGATGCTGCTAGCCAAATCCTGAATTTCAGGGTGCTGAGGAGCAAGGCCTGTGACCCCAGACATAATGTCACTCCCCCTTCAGCTCCCAGAACCCTCCTAATGTCCCTTCCTCCATGTACACCCGTCCTCTCCTACTCTGTAACTCCTACACTAAAGTCCTCCCCCATCCCAAGCTCTCACTGGTCCCTAAAACACCACAGGCCTTCCCCAGTATGAAGGGGCCATCAAGTTCAGAGAAAAGTCACTGCCAACCCATCTCCATGTCATGAAAAATCATCCAACAAGGAAAGAAAGCTGATACATTTTCTCAAGATGAATGACTTATTATTTCAGTGTAAATACTTCACCATCCTTCACATATCTTAAGGTTCATGTGCAGTGATTCCAGTGTGGAATGGATGCCTCAGGGGACTGTGAGCTCCCTAATCCCAGGGGTATTTAAGTGGAGGTGGAATGCCCCCAGGATATTTGTTACAGAAAGTAATGAGACCAACTAAAAGGCATAGGAAGAAGAGCAGGAGGTAGGATTGATTTAGCATTTCCAAGCACCCAACATAATTTTCTTCACTTAATTCTCATTACCACCCTTGTAGGTATTAAAACACACACACACACACACACACACACACACACACACACCCTCACTCAAGGTCATACAGTCTCAGTAGGTGACAGAACCCAGGTGGCACCAACACTCTACTCCACTTCACTGGTCTGCCACCCAGGCTACAAGCATGAAACTGCTTGTCAAATGACCTAACCTGGAGATAGCCATGATGGGTACCTAATGATTCTCCCAGAATGAGATGGTCAAAGGTTTCTCCTACTGAGCAAGGGCAATTTTCTCATCTATGAAGCAAAGATGAGACTTCATCCCAGCCCTTCCTGCACAGGAAGGGTTGACTGCATGGCTTTCCTGCCCGACCCTTTCTACCTTTTCAAAATGTATTCAAAAACATGATCTCATTGGAGATTCTCACATCTGAGAGGTAAGGATCTGACAAAGAAGGCCACTGAGGCTCACATGTGAAGTTTCTGCCCAAGGTCCCATGCTGGACCAAAATACTTGTGTTCAAGGACACCAGCCACCAACATTACCTCTGTCCCAATCAAAACCACATGGGTGAAAGAAAGAACATCTTTAAAGTATCATTAAAAATCATAGCTGCAATTGAATGAATCTTCAAACCAAATCTATGATATTGGTTAGTGTGTGATACTCACTCCATAAATGTTTAGCACAATGAAGGAGGAAGCAGGCCCCTACCATTCAGCCAACCAAGCACAAATAATGCCATCAGTGGGAACCACCTAACCCTCCCATCCTCAAAGTATACATTTGCTCTCCTTTCATAAGTTAGGCAGCAATGTATCTACTGGCAGCATTTTGCCATCAGCTCCAGGATGAAGCAGCTCCTGCATTTGGTTCCAAGACAGGAGTCAGCAGGACTCTGGAGGCCACCATCTAATCCCAATGGTTTGTTTATTGTTGGAGGTCATCACCATGGTATGACCCCACAGGCCCTGGGAAGCACCAAAGCCATTTTGTCAGTGACTCAACCAGAAACCACGTGGACCTCAAGGCAACCTTTTGGTCTTCAAGGACATGGCCAAGTTCAAGCTGGTCCAGGGAGGCAGCAAATTATTTGGACCCACAGCCAAGGCAGGTGGCAGACACAATGTTAATGTTTAGGTCCAGGCAGTGCTGAGCACTGAGCAAGGAATGTGGCAGAAGCCCAGCCTTTGTCTTCCTGTTTACAAGATCAATGCCACTGAGAAGCTAACTTGGCTTCTCCTCAGAACTATCCTGTCCTGTGGGCACTGAGAGAGAGGCCATCCTGCACACATTTCACAATACCAGCGGGTAGGAGGGGTCTTCTGAATCTATTCCAATTTATGAGGCACACACAACTCACCAATGCCTGGCAGCAGCTATTCCAGGTGTCCCCTCTCCGCCCTGATACTGACGCCTGGCTGGGAAAGACAGAGATAGCCTCATGACACCAACTCTTCAGGTTTTGATGGCTCTTACATCTGCATAGACAAATGTACTCAGATGTACTCAGATGTACTCAGATTGTACTGAGATGCACTCAGAAACAAATGTTTCTCTGACCGAGAAAAGGTCAGAGGTTCACTATTAGGCATGACACAGAGCTGGGAGGGGCCACATGTTGTGTGATTCCACTTATATGAGCTGCGCAGAATAGGCAAATCGGTACATTCCAAAAGCAGTCTAGTTGCTGCCAGGGTCTGGGGAAAAGGGCAAGGGGAATGATTGACTGATCACAGGGAGGGATTTTCTTTTTGGAGCAATGAAAATGTCCTGGAATTTAAGATAATGCTGATGGCTGCACAGGTCTGCATAAATGTTATAGCATGCTGGTGATATCTCAAAAAGGCTGTTATTTCTTTAACTGACAGAGAATATGAGGGCAGGAAATTAGGAGAACCTTCCCTACCCCACATTTTCCTCCCTTCACTGGATCCTTAAATCCTCCACAGTCCTAGAAGTCCTACAGTGTGGGACCTGCACCCCACACATCAATCTGCTTTTGTCCAGCCCTGGCAACCAAGGCAGCTTGGGAACATTCTCAGAACATCCCCAGGGACACCTCTGAGAATGTTCATTCATCTTGAAGGGCAATTGGCTGCCACGATTTGCCTGAACCCAGGACGGGGAAGGAGGGAAAAACCAGAGAGATGGCCACCTTGTTTCTCAGACAAACTGGAGCTGGGAGGAAGAGCAACAGCAAGCCCAACAGTTGACATCACTGATTTTGCTCCTCAAAGCCACGGCAAAGGAAAAGTACAGTTTGGAGCTTCAGACATGACAGACTTCAGAGGAAAATAAATCAGGCAGAAAAACCGCTAGAGGTTCCATTAGCAAGACAGACCAAAAAATAGGATTCCCACATCCCCTGCTGCCCTCCAGGCCCCTTGTACTGCTAAAAATAAATCAACAGGCAATGGTATTTGTAATGCCAGAGTTCTCAGGAATCCCTGCAGAGCCAGGCTTGCTCCCAGCCCTTTTCAATTTTCTTGGCCTCACCACCTCCACCACTTCAGTGTGGAGGGCAGCACAGAACCCAGTACAGGAGACATTTATACAGTCATGAGGGCCCAATGGATTTCATTCAGAGGTCCCACTTCACAGATGTGGTCAGGGCCTCAAGACCCAAACATGGAGCAAGTGCTGTGTTCCTTCAAGCAGGAACACAGGGATCGAAGTATTTGTGTCAGGTTTGAAGGAAAGGGAAAGAGACACCCTCCACCACTCCACCCACTGCGTCCTACCTGACGTGTATCTAGGAGAGGAAGTCAGAAGTGGAAACAGGGAGGGGATCTCCCACTATAGACCCTGACCCCCACTTCTAGGGCTTCCTAACACCAGGTTCCTGATAGAGAAAAGATCCCTTGGAGCAAGGACAGGTTCAGGGGAGTGAGTGACTGAATGCAGACTCAGGTTTTGGAGTGCCTGAGTTCAAATCCTGCTCTGCCACTTACTGGCTGGGTGACCTTGGACAACACACTTAACCCACTTGTCGTATGAGGATGGTGAGCTCCCTCCCTCACTGGGCTAATGTGAAGATCTCACCATCGTGCCTGTCACATAAAGGTATGTAATCTTCACTGGATCTTACTGGGCATGCACTGACAGTGTCACCCCGGTAAATTTGCTATCCTTCAAAGCCAGCAGCAACTCTCAATGATCCAGGCCTCCCTGTGTACGGCAGGATGTAGACTCTCCCTGTCCCCGGGAAGCAGGAAGTTGTTCCTTCTGTGTAAGTGACAATCAAAACAGTTGAGTGGCAAGGACGAGATCGCAACCAAGATTTGTCCAATCTTTTAACCACTGCTCTGCACTAAGCTGCCTCTTGCCAAACCCCTAGGTGGGCACAAGAAGCCTTCCTTGTTGAAGACAGTGAGAAACAGGGATCTAGAAGCTGGGAGGAGGGAGGGGTGTCTCTTTAAACAAAAGCAATCAGCAGGCACAGTTCTTACTAATTTTTTTAAGTTGCCAGACTTACTTACATCAGAGAACAGAAATCAGGCAGGCAGTCCCTTCCTGAAGATTAGCAGACCAGAAGTGGGAAAGTAGAAACCAACACTCTCCTCTGAGGGCCTTGAGTTCGTTCTCTTGGGCTCTCAGGTCTGGGCCGTCCCACCGTCCCGCCCCCTTCCTTTGGCAGGTAGCTCAGGTGCCTACCAGATGCCACTGTGGCCCACAAAGGCACTGGGAGATCGGAGGCCTGAACCCATCTGAGGTGTGGTCCAAGAACACAGGAGTCCATAAACCAGCCCTGAGGCTAAGGACATGGAGCAGCCATAAACCCACAGCTCTATCAGCCTCGCCAGGCCCCCACCCTGTGAACTGAGGAGCCCAGGACACAGGACAGCAAGGGCCTCTGAGGCCACCCAGATTCAGAGAAGAAATTCCTCATTGAGTGCTCACTAGCTGCCAGGGAACAGTGTTGGTGCCCTCTGGAAAGTTCTGGCATTGTGGCTGCAACCAAGACAGACTCTGAAGGCATTCTATCTTTCCTAAGCCTGAAAGAACCCCAGCAGGTTTGCTCTGAGTTCATCTTTCAGCTGGGGAAACTGAGGCCCTGAGAAGTTATACAACTAAGAAGAGACTGGGCTTTAAGCCAGGTCTGTCTGTCTCTAAACAACTCTTTTCTAATTTTGTTGTTGTTGTACTGGGGTCTAAACTCCTGATTGTGCCCTCTCCCTTTCTCAGAGGCTCCTGGAGAAGTTGGGGGATGGACTGTCAGGGAGGTAGAGGAGGCCCGGAAGGTTCCAGGCCTCCGCTGAGGACCATCCCAACACAGGGCAGCCTCCTTCAGCTGCTGGGACAGTCCACAAGGGGTGCCTTTGAGGACACCCATCCTGAGCATCCTCCCTGCACTTCAGCCATGGCTGGAGGATGGCACGAGAAACATCTCTTCCTCTCTAAAAAGATTTTCCATACTCCAGGCCTACCCTGCTCTCCCCAGGGCAGGGATGATAAAAGAAGCAGCTCACATTCAGTAGGCACTTCCTAAGTACATATTATATACATATTAGCTCACTATATCAGCACAGACACTATGAGGAAGGTGCCACTTACAGAAAACCAAGCTTTCTAGAAAATACACGGCTTGCCCAAGGTCACACACAGCTATAAACCACCAATCTGGGACTGAATATACACTGCTCACCACGTACCCCCATCTTGGGGCCTGAAAGCAAGCAGGTGCAGATAAGCTGCCACACATGTAAATGTGCCACACAGCTGCCACCTTCTACTCATTCAGCAATGGCTGTGGCTCGTGCAATCTCCTCAGGCTGTTTCTACCTTTGGTGCAGACCTCCAGAGTCCCCATCCCTCTCTGCCTTTGTCCTTTTGTGAGTAACACGTAAATGCTGCCAGGAGACCAGGCCGGCTCTAAGTGTGGGGTCTCCCAGGCCTACCTGAGTCCACTCGTCTAGAACATAGGGATGGAACAGTTAGGAATAAATTACTCCTTCAGAGAAAGACCCAGACCCCAGAGCAGCAATGCTCAGAAGCCCTCAGAAGGCATCCCTCCCTGGGGCTCCAAAGCTGAAGGGAATTAAGTATATGGCAAGCTATAGTTTGGATCTTAAGCATCTCCCAAAGTTTCATGTGGTAAAGGCTGTCCCCAGGGCGGTACAGTTTGGGGTTGACAGAGTCCTTAGGAGGTGGGACCTAGTGGAAGGTCTTCAGGTCATTGTGGGCATATCCTTGAAGGGGGCAGTGAGACATCAGCCGCCCCTTCTCACTCTCTTTGGCTTCCTGATCATGAGGTGATTAGTTTTGTACCCCCATAAGCTCCCACCATGACGTGCTACCTCATCACAGATCCAAAACAGTGGGGCCAACTGATGATGGACTGAAACCTCCAAAACTGTGAGCTGAAGTCAACCTTTTCTCTTTGTAAGTTGACTATCTCAGGTATTTGTTATAGTTACAGAAAGCTGACTAGTACATACTATCATCCTGTGCCAGAAAGAGCTATCTAGGGATTATCTTGTCCAGCAAACTCTCTGGTGAAGTGTTCTATTACCACCCAGGCCCACGGGACTCCTGATCAGCAACAAAGCCCTCTGGGGAAGCTGATCTGCATAGACCCTCGTAGCAGTAGCCTTGCAGCACTCCCCCCGCCCCAGGACTTCTTTGCCTCCTATGAACCACTCTGCCCAGACTCTAAGTTCAGACTCACCTCACTAGTCAGGTCAGAAATGCACCTCAGTGGGGAGAACTCTGGGTGATCATTTTGTGAAATCATTGCAAAGAATCATCAGATAGAAAAAAGGCAAAGAAAGACAGGAAGGAGAAGGGTAAAAACAGAATAAGAGAAAGAAAAAGTTGTGAGTGGAAAACTCGTGAGGCACTGAAGAAATAACATGGTCTCCATGGGGAGTGAGAGCGGAAGATTAGGGTGGCTCAGAAGGACCCCCTCCCCGCATTGAGTGAGTCAGTACTGGCTGAAGGATTGTTCTTCTCACTTCTGTGTTCAAAGTACTGCTCCCCTATTCGTGAACTTGACTTCTCCATCCCCACTGCCCCCCTAAAATGTCCACTTGTACACTGTGGCCAACTAATTCCTGGTCCCCTGTGGCAGACTAGATCCTGATCTCCCAAGGTGTCCGCATCCTAATCCTGTGTGATGGCTAATCTTGATTGCCAACTTGGGTTGAAGTGCGTAGGGTTAGTAAAGCACACCTCTGGGTATGTCTGTGAGAGTGTTTCCAGAGAGCAGCCACTGAAGAAGGCACACCCTGAACATGGACAACACCATTCCATAGGCTGGCAATGACAAAATGTAGAAAGCCCGCAGTGCAGGCATTCTCTCTCTCTCTGTCTCTCCCCACCCCCCTTCCTGGCCACCACACTCTCCCCTCCGTGATGGATGAAACCCTCTGAAACGCTGAGCGCCAAAACATACCCTTCCTCCCTTAAGTTGTCAGCTATTGTCACAATGATGCCAGGAACCTGTGATGGTTGACTTATGTGGTACTAAGACTCTGCA